AGCCACTCATCTATCAACTACAACTGGTCAAGCGCGAACCCCACTCCAAAAACATCAAGATGTTCCACTACGCCTCCAAATGTCTCCTCTCCGTCCTCTTCATTGTCTCTGTTGCATCTAGCGCAGTGCTCCCTTCCTCGCAAGCTCTCGAGCCTCGACAAGGCGCATGCCTATCCTCACTGGTCCGCCCCAACCCCGTCAACAACGTCGGGCGAATCTCGTTCCAGCGATACATCGATGAGCCGAGAACCACCGGAGAGCGAGCAGATGCCTCGTGGGCACCCAACAACCTAATTGACGTCCACATGACCGTCCCGACCAATGTCTACACCGCCCAAAATATCAATGTCTACGTCACCAACCGCAGCACCAGAGGCAATGCCATCATTCTTACCAACTTCCAGGACACACTGCTATCTACTCAGCCTCGTGCGCAGATTAGAATAACGGTGCCTGGGCAGACACGCGCAAACGGTGTCGTCAGGCCCGGTATGGCATCCCCATGTGTGCATCTGCCACGCCTTGACGGCACGTGGTACTTCCAGGTTGAACAGTAATGAAAGTAAGGGTTCTTTTACTTTTGCTAGGGGCTGAGCTATACTTTCCTAATCTCTATTTAAGTTAGAGGGAGACTGCATGTGTGCGAGGAATAGTTGCATGTGGTAGTCTGTTGCGACTTTTAAGGATTCTTGTCATCATATTATGAACTGAGGTTCTAGGAAGGACAACTATTGGGGATCTGTTAGCTTCTATCTAGGCTTGAACCGTTACTGTATATATGTATTGCAGTCTCACCTAGACATAAATTTTGTCCTCAAGAATTCGTCTCAACTTACTCATAACAAATATACTCGGTGTTTATCTGCGAAACACTTCACACTTACAACATAGGTTTTCCAAAAAGAGGTGTTGGAAAATATTAATATTCAAACCTTTCCAAGAACTTGGTACATAACTCAACAGTTTGTATTAAAGTAAGGTTCCGTAAGCTTAAGTTATGCATTTAGAGTAGGAATTCTAAACTCTATCCAGAGACCGTTCCCTCACTGGGCCGTCGCACAAACAACATCCTCGGGGTAGCATTGTTGGCACACGAAGTCTCAACGGAGACACACATGCCAGCACCGCCTCTGCAGCACGTGTTGATGACGCACAACTGGTTGGCGCCGCAGTCCGAGTTTGCTTTGCACCCGGGACTGCTGCAAGATGTGGTGCCGGGGACACAGAGACCGCCGCCGCCAACGACGGAGCCGCAGAGGCAGCCGCTACCACAATAGATGTAGTTACGGCACGTGGCCCCGGCGCATTGGGGGTTGGGGTTCAGGTTCTGGCACACGCCGTTGGAGCAGTTACCGCCGTTAGGACACTATTGTGGTGTTAGTTACTTGTGAGCTGTGATTGACAAGCCATTGGGCACTTACTACGTTGCCGCATGAACCGCAGTTGTTGGAGTCGGTGTTGAAATCAGGTGGAGCGGCTGTCTCAGTGGCCTTGGTGATAATAGTTACAGTCGGGGTAAAGTATGCAGTTGCATCAACCTACACGAATGAATTAGACTATAGCTTTAAAAGAGAGGGCACTAGACTTACAGATAGCGTAAGGGTCTCTTCCTGAACTGTGGTGACCTGGAGTGTAGCCGTGGTAGTTGCGTATTCAACGACAGAAGTAATCTCAGTGATGGTCTCTGTCGTTGTAGGCGCTTGCAGGCCAAGACACCCACAGCCCTCGGTAATCTTTTCACACTCGAATTGCTGTAGTTCTTCTGGTGCCTCTGCACACAACACGACTGGAGTAGGGGTAGGGGTAGGGGTGGGTGTGACTGGTGTTACCGAGGGTGTTATCGAAGTGGTATAGTTAACAACAGGATACGGCTGGTAGCTGCTCGAGTTGACAGCAGGGTATTGTTGAACGATGCTCGAGGCGGCGGGGTACTGCTGGATGATGCTCGAGGCAGCGGGGTATTGCTGAGTTACGCTCGAGGCAGCAGGGTATTGCTGAATTATGCTCGAGGTAACATCATAGTGCGGGTAAACACCGCTCGAGCTAGCTACGTAATAGGATCCGTCGACGCTGGAGGAGCCAGTAGGATAAGACTCCTTGGTGTCGTAGGAATCAGCGTAAGCCTGCTTCAGAGTGCTCGAGGAACCGGTGGGATAAGAATCCTCCGTATTGTAGGATCCATCATAGGTCGGCTTCAAACTTTCTGAGCACTTGGTTGAAGAAGACTTTGTAGAGGTAGAACTGGAGCACGTAGTAGAGCTGGTGCTTGTTGGAGTGACCTGGGCAGCGCTGATGGGATAGGTAGGATAAACACCTGCACTGCTTGCAGACTTCTTCTTGGTGCAAGTCGTGCTGGTAGAAGCAGTCTCGAGAACTTCACCTCGTTTGAGGATAGTAGTGATTGTGGGGCATGCTGGGACCGTGGTGGTTCTAAACAAATCAGCCGCCGCAGTTTAGTTTCCTAATAAGCAGACTTACTCAGTGATAGCCACCGAGATAGCATCAGTAGTACTAGTAATGGTACCGGTGGTGAGTGTCTCTGTGTGGGTAAACGTCTCCGTCGCGGTAAGCATCTCTGTGACCTCTGTGGGTCTGGTGTCCGTCACGGTATTCACAGCCGTGGAGGTGACGGTTGAAGTGGAAAACTGGAGCAATGACGAGCACAGTTCCGGTGCATATGGAACGGCGTGTAAAACATTGACAACGTTGGTAATTAAGTCGCACTGAGCTTGTTCAGTAGCGGAAGTGGCTGTCGCCAAAGACAAAAGGAGTGAAGCGGTAAACGAGCGCATCTTGAAGGAGTGGAATGGTCTATGACCGGCTGCTGGAACTGTACCTGCTGAATGGAATAGTATTATCCAGTGCAACCTCATCCAGGCATGGTAACTAGCATATATACATGGCGGAATGTTTCTCGATTCAGGGTTATTCTGGTGGCGCTACATACGAGCTGAGCATTCCAGAACCGAGAGGATGCCTGACCAGGTAAACCGGCGCCTCCGAGATTCTGCTCGCTTTCCCCCTACTAACAGAAGACACAAAAATGCTTGAGCCGAAATGAGATGGTACCCGAACTCCCAAAGGGGTAACGGGTTGGCGCAAGAGTCAAGGTGTGCAGATGTGCTTTTTACAACCAACTTATTCTGGCATAGCGAGGACGGGATCGCGCCGCACGATGGCCAAGGAAAAGTTCGGTAGATCCGCTCCATGGGAGAAGGCGTTCTGTAGCGTATCGAATGGCATAGTGCGAGGGGCTAAATTCGGGTGTCCCTGCCAAGCGCAAGGCTGGAGAGCAGCTAAGTAGATCTAGATTCCCGGTCCTCAGGCCTTTAGGGTCTGAGCGTGAATCTACTACGCTTTTGAATGCATCTTGTGGCTTATCCATTGATCGTAAAAGACTGTAAGCGACATCCGTTCTTAACAGCACAGGGCCAAAGGTATATAAGTAAGAGGGCAAAATTCGGCAGTACGCAAAAACGCTGCATTGCTGGTTGGGTATATGGAACTGATCCTAATGCTTTTGCACGTGTGGATGCGCCACATACGAAAGGCGTTAAGCAGTGCGCCGCGCATCGGGCATATTCCTCCTTTCTTTGGCAGTGACCTTCTTGCGACGGCGTTCGATGACCTTGTCGCGCTGTTTCGATTTCATGTTTTGGAAGCGGTCGACCAATGCAATCTTCTTTTGCTCGGCTAAAATGTATGGTTAGTACGTGACGATTAAGTAGAGGCGCGATCATGGACATACACTTCTTCAAGAAGAATGGCTTCTTGCCCTCCTTGACCAATTCCTTTTCCTTCTTCTTGTGCTCGCGTGCGACCTCCTTGAGCTTCTCCTTGTTTTCTCTTGCCTTCTGCTGTGACTCCATGGATAGAAGCTTCTTCTTGAGCCGCTCCTTTTCCTCTTCGTTCTTTGTCTTTTTGATGGTGCTACGCAGTTCAGAGATTTCAGACGCCCGGTAGTCATTAAGGAAGGAATATCGCTTGTCGACCACATGCTCGTCTGGCCGGGGCCCGGACACGTTATCAAATCGTGGGTCTCGGAAGACGGGCTTCTTCACCTCAACCACCTGGCGTTTACGCGATACCATGCGCTTGCTCGACTGGACGGCTGGGGCGTGTTTGCTTGATCGCGCATGGGGCGCGGCATCTGAATCAGAGCCTTCGCTGTCACTGGCGTCGTCGTTGTCGCCACTATCACTCTGAACGGGCTTCGCCTTGGACTTGCTCGATGTCTTTGCTTTCTTGCTAGGCTGCGCACCACTTGCCAGCTTCTCAGCCTTGATCTGCCGTAACCGCTCTCTCAACGCCTCCAACTTGTCTTCTTGTGATTTCGATGTGTCGTCGCCTCGCTTGCGTTTTCGGTCAGACGATTTCGAGAGTGCATCCTGGGCCTTGGCTAATGCACCGAATGAGACTCTGCTCATTTGCGCCTTTACTTGGTCGTCGTCGTTTTCAGCATCTGACTTGTTCATATTAGCACCACCTACTGGCAGATTGTTCTGTGTAATGCTCACCATGTCTTCCGACCCCGCGTCTTCTTCACCATCGGAGCTGATGACGTTTCCGCCTTCATCTGCCTCGATCACAGAGGCAGAAGAAGACCGGTCCGTAACCTCGTAATAGTCTTCACCATCCGAACTCTCCTCTGCCGCGCGCAGGTTGCGGTCGAGCTTGTTCGCAAGAACCATCGCAGGCACGTGTATTAAGTCGCCGCTGCGGAATTATCAGGCTGTGAGATACAGTCCTTGGATTGGAGTGGAGCGTCGCGAAAACACCCCAGATTGCGCTACCCAACTTTTCGGTGGACCCCACATGGCCGTCGGGGTTTCGATTCGCCGATAGGGCTGACGGGCAGGCAGTTGCGCGCCCAAATTTCTATGCATAGGCGTCATCAGCTGGGCTCATGCTTCGGGTACTGCATCGTCACCTCGCCCTGCTCTTCACTCCTCACTCATCTCTGGCCTCCAAGTCGTCCTCACCGCCAGCGCACGTGCTCAATGGCCGCCATCGCGTCAGCTCGGTACAGCATCCCCCACTGCGCTCCAGTCGCAACTTCTTCCACTAACATCACCAACTCCAAGACCACCACAGGTCGACATAGTCCTTTTCCAGAGCATCCGCTCGCCTGCACCGCCACAGGCCCCAGCATGAATGATTCATGGAACCCGAATGCGCTGCCTTTCCAGCCTGGTGGCTTTGGCCATCGAGAGCAGGATTTGGGCGCCTTTGAGAACCAGCTTCCTCCCCCTCCCCCTCCCCACGCCCCTCAAGGACCCCCGGGCCCATATGGATCGCCAGGAGTCCCGTGGAATAACAACTTTCCTATGCCACCTCCGCTGATGCCGCCCCCTGTACCTCCACACATGTTCAACAACCCACAAGCATACGGCGACTATGGCGCCCACCTCCACGCGCAGGCCTACCATCAGTGGATGATGCACAACGGTCATGGATATCATGCGCCTCCACCTCCGCCTCCGCCCCCACTAAACTATCCACCAGTTCCAGATGCTTTAGCAGGACGTCCGCCTCCGCATATGCAACAACATGGGCCGCCGCCATTTGGACAGCCACCGCCGTTTGGACCTCCGTTCCACCATGGCCCTCCGCCATTTATGCACCATCAGCAACGACAGATGTTTGGGAATCGGACGCAGCACCACGCAATGCACACCCAGGCAAACCTTCCCCAAGGTGCAAGGAACGAGGACATACAGTATGCTATTGATGCCTTGTTCCAAGGCGCAAAGTTCAAGAATCACAATGCTGATATTCACAGGGCGCCAAATTACCCAGGCAAGAAATCAAAGCCTGTGAATGCTGTCAATGGCCACGCCAAGCAGAAAGAGTATGACACCCTCCATCGCGTTGCTTCTCACGAAGCCGACTGGCACCGGATTAACAAACATCACAGTGTATCCAAGGGGCCCAAGCAAATTCCTGCTACTGAAAAGAAGGGACGTTATGGTGATGAGAAGATCATGCTTCCTGCGCCACAGCCCACAGAGGAGTACATGGAGCAGTCTGCTGGAGAACCATGTGAAAACGAGAATCCTGGCCCGATGTTGGTAATTTTGGACCTCAATGGTACAGTCCTGTACCGGCCCAATCGCAATGCGAAGACTATGATCGAGCGCCCGTTCTTGAAGCCCTTTCTACGCTACCTGTTCGAGAACTTTAAGGTCATGGTTTGGTCAAGCGCCAGGCCAGACAATGTAAAGGCGCTCGTCAATCAAGCTCTGGACAACGATCTCCGCTCAAAACTCGTAGCTCAATGGGCGCGCGACAGCTTCGGCCTATCCCCAGCAAATTATCAGCAAAATGTTCAAGTGTACAAGAACTTGAAACTAGTATGGAGCCGGAGTCAAATTCAGTCGTACCACCCAGACTATGACGCTGGCGGTCGCTTTGGTCAGCACAACACGGTTCTCATTGACGACAGTTCTATCAAGGCTAGCGCCCAGCCGTACAACCTCCTCGAGATTCCAGAATTCTCAGCTACGCCTGAACAGATGCAGGGTGACGTACTGCGCGAGGTAGCTGGTTATCTGGAAGTGTTGAGGAAGCAGTCGGATGTCTCCGAATACATCAGAAAAAACCCGTTTGTGGAAGGTGGCCAATGGACGTTTGAGTGGCCTGACAGCATTGCGGGTGGGGGCGAAATGACAGCCAAAGCTTCTGCTCCTACGCTCAGTAAGAAGAAAAAGAAGAAACTAGCCCAAGCTGCTGCAGCTGCTGCAGCTAAAGCTAATGTCCCAGTGTCACAGGCCCCCTTGTCAGATGCGACTGATACTGTGGCCTCTGTGCCGTTAGTAGCCTCTGTGCAAAGGGACTGGTAGAAGTATTTCCGGCTTGAACATGCCATGAAATGGCCACAACTCCAAGTTTGCTATGCGATGCCGGCGTTTGGGGTAACAAAAGTCTTCCACGAAAAGTCGATACCCTTTGGACATCTAGCCTCTGCTAGTACGAGACACGAAAAGCGAGCATCATGTACATATTTTGAGCGATTATACCATCTGGCGACTGTTCTGCTGCGTTTTTGTAAAGGAACGGTTATATTCCTGCTTATCTCCTTGATCCGAACAACCTTTGGTCCGTAATCCCAGCAGCCATTCTAAAGGTCACCTTTGCAGCTTCAGTAGCGAGTAGCGAGCAGCAACAAGCTTGATTGGATAGGGCAAATTTCCTGTAAAAGTAATACCATGAGTAGAATTAAGGATCTTCCGTCTTGTGTTATTGTCAGGCTGATCAGTTATAAGATGATGAAACAACCTCTACTACATTTCTTGATGCTTACCATTGCCGCTTTGGTGTACACCAGCAGTTGGTGTCCCACAGCAGCTCCACACAAAAAACAAACACCGGTCGAATGTCATATGATTTTTCGTCCGGTCCATCTCTTGAAACATGTGCATATTGGTTACACAGAACAGGGACATTGGTAGCATTCCCTGACCCTGAGTAATGGCAGTGCTGCATGCATTGGGCGGATGCAACGGCCTTGTGTCCGCGGATAGCCGAGGCGGGACGAGATTTTCCCACCGTCATCCAGTCATTGTCGCCGGTACCCGCGGGTCCGTTAATACAGCGCAATTCCTTCTCCATCCGCTGTATCACCTTACTACGCGACGCAGAATGTCCACAGCGGATGATTCCATGACCGGTACTGGCACTGACCAACAGGACGCAAACTCAGCATCAAGCAAGAAGCGGACCCACCCGGAAGACTTCAAGCGCGCCTACAAGGCCTGCATCAATTGCCGGCAACGCAAGGCCAAATGTATCCTGGGGACCGGCCCTGATGGTGGAGAGCTAAAGCCTCCCTGCCAAAGATGCAAGCGAGAGATGCGCGAATGCGTCTTCCGGTCGGAGCGCTCATGGGTCAAGAGACGCAAGCCGGGAGAGGCGAGAGAGAATGAGGACGAGGAGCCTGCCCAGCCCCAGTCAAATCCACAACCCGTCGTTCATCCCTCGCCCAGTGGCCACAGATCGTCCACTTCGACACATGGGTTCACCCCGGGAGGTAGCCCACATGTTAACGGCGGCCACCATCGCCCGGAATTTCAGTCTCCACACGGCCATCTTCGTCGCGTTTCGTCTTCTCAGCCAGATCTAGCGCATTCCGTGATGAGGACTGTAGTTTCTAGCGGCAGCGATGCGTTGAATCTCCTGTTTGAGGCTGCAAATCATCGCGACGCCATTGACAACCAGGAGCAGTCAGGGTCTCAGGCATACGAGACGCCCAGGTCAGGGCCATCTGGCTACGACAATGGTGTGCCATCATCACCATTTCACACGTTCAGAGCGCAGCCGGTGCAGATGTCAACACCGTCGCCTGAGACTCTGAAGATATGGACTTCATGTCGATTTGTGCAAATGGGCTGGTTCTCCGCGCATGAAGCCGTTACGTACGTTGATCTGTTCTTCAAGAACTGTTCGCCCTTGTCGCCCATACTAGGAGAGTTTTATTCGCATCATGAAAACCACTACACACTGATTGCGTTGGATCCGTTTCTCTGCACTACTATCTTGATGATATCATCTCGGTATAACATCCTCCCTGGAGTAGGTGGCGCGTCGCGAGGCTACTTTGTCCATGACAGACTCTGGGAGCAATGTCAGCGTTTCATTATGAAAATCATGCTGGGTCAGGTGAAGCCCTCCAAAGCACAAAGTAGGACTATCGGATCCATTGAAGCACTACTGCTTCTATCCGAGTGGCATCCTCGTGCCCTTCACTTTCCGACTGCTGCAGATGGCTGGGACTGCGAACTAATGATTGGCGCCAACAACACCACTGAAGAGGGTGCAAAGCTCTTGGAAGGAGATGTGACCTCGAACAGATGGCTTGAGGATGTCATAGAACCTGCAAAGCGCTCTGATCGCATGTCTTGGATGTTGATGGGCTGTGCCTTGTCCTTGGCTCAAGAGCTGGGCCTCTTTGAAGACAATGCAAGGATCGACAAAGACCAGGTGTCTTACCCAAAGTTCTCGACCGAATATCTGATCCTACGAAGGATTCGGGCTCGGAAACTACTCTACGTGCTGCTTGAACAGCTCTCGTGGCGCCTGGGTTGCACGTCGATGATCCCGCAAAGTCTCAATCATGCTTTGATGGAAAAGATTCCGGTCGATTCAGCCACAGGTGCTGTAGAGCAATGGCAGTCTTTCATGAGTGCCTGGGTGGAGCTTACAAAGCTTGCACGTTCCATTTCTGATACCATATATCCCAACACGACTACTACAAGGAGTCTTCTGCGCACGGGTCGCTACATAGGCCTGCTGGAACACTTCCAGCCTTTGTTGACCTCGTGGAGGAAGAAGTATCTCGACCCCCGCAGTAAGTCACCTTACACCATTAACCATGTGAAAATCTCAATGCTGATACTTTGCAGAGCTCAAAGTCGGATTGCATGATATGCTTCACATAGAGTATCAGTATGTACGCATCTACACCAACTCGCTAGGCATGCAAGCAGTCGTCGAACGCACGCTTGCCGAGACCGACCCAGATGTTCCTCAAGAAGACAACCTTCCGTTTAATCTCGAGCCAAGAGACTACGACTTTATCCAGGAGGTGGTTGATGGAAGCTGTCAGATTTTGCAAAAGGTCTGCCAACTGTCGGAAACAGGAGCACTACGCTACTCGCCAGTGCGGATATTCCTACGCATCACGACATCGTCGATATACCTAATCAAGGGCCTGAGTTTGGGCTCACGCAATCAAAAGCTACAATCATGTCTAGACATCCTCGACGCAGCTATCCGGGCACTTCGAGCAAGTGAGTGTTATCTACCCTCTGGCTATGTATTGTTGCTGACATTTCAGGTACTCTTGATGATATGCATCTGGCATCGCGCTATGCCACACTGCTTGACATGCATGTCGCCCGTCTCCGCGAAAGCTTTGTTGTTTCTTCACGACCACCACGACTCCCCTCACGTGCTACGTCCGCCGACCTCAAGAGCGCAACAACGGGCATGGACTTTTTGAACAACCACAACGCTGGACAGTCGCATCTTTCTTCACTTGCAGAAAACGTGACAAATCTCATGCCCGATGATGACTGGCTTGCACTACCCTTTGATCCTGCAATGGCACCATTTGGTTTAGATAGTGGACCACAGAGTTTCCAGGGCTTTGATGACGGAACTTTGGATTTTATATGGAATCTACCCATGTAGGTTGTTGGGTTGAATAGCCTTGATGTAATCTTTGAAAGACACTATCAAAATGCATACAGAGAGCGGGAGACAAAACTGATATAGAGAGAAAGAGGATGAGAGCCGTGACTCAACATGATATGGAAATAGATAATGAATTGAGAAATATCAAGATGCAACATGTGCAGCAGACCCTATGTCCACGCTAGACCCAACTCCATGAAAATGCCTTGAACGCCCATTATTCATCACACCCCCTTCATCCCAACTCTGCCTCTCGCTCAAACCAAGTTCCCCCTCAGCTCCTGCTCCCTCTCAATCGCCTCAAACAAGCTCTTGAAGTTCCCCGCACCAAACCCATCAAAGTTATTCCTCTGGATAATCTCAATAAACACCGTCGGCCGATCCATAAGATGCTTCGTGAAAAGCTGCAGCAGGTAACCCCCCTCGTCGAAATCAATCAGGATATCCAAGCTCTTCAGCGTCTCGAAATCCTCATTCAAAGTCATACCCGCCTTCTTGAGCCTCATCCTCATACTCTCGTAGTACGTCTCGGGGACCTTGATAAACTCGACACCTCTCGCCTTTAGGTTCGTAATTGCAGAGATGATATCCGTAGTACGGAGCGCAATATGTTGGACACCGGGTCCGCCGTAGAAATCCACATACTCCTCAATCTGGCTCTGTTTCTTACCCTTGGCGGGCTCGTTGATGGGCATTTTGACGACGTCGTTGGGGGAGCTCATGACGATGGATTTGAGGGCGGAATACTCTGTGCAAATGTCCTTGTCGTCTACGCTCCAGAAGCGGTGGAAGCCGAGGACTTTTTCGTAGTAGGCGCAGACGTCTTCCATTTCGTCCCAGTCTTGGTTGCCGACGCAGTGGTCGATGGCGCTGAGGTTGATGGAGGGGAGGAAGGCGGAGAGGGGGTCCTTGGTGCTGGATTCAGCGCGGTAGCCGGGGAGGAAGATGCCGTTGTAGGAGGACTTTTGGATCAGGGTGTGCGTTGTGTCGCCGTATGTGCGGATGGTGGCTAGGCGTACGCTGCCTTGGTCATCGGAGAGCGTGTAGGGTTCTTTGATGGAGACGGCACCGGCAGAGACGGCCGCAGAGTATATGGCATCTACATCGTCGACTTCGAATGCAACATCTAGATGATAGTGTTAGTTATTATATTTTGCTTTTGGTTGATGGGCACAGAAGTGTGCGGTGTGTGACGCTTACCCTTGACAGCATCACCATGTCTCTCCTGGTGCGCATGAATTTCCTTGAGCAACTGCTCGTCCTCCTTGCTAAACCTCGAGCCTTGCTCCAAACACCGCAGCGGCGAAGTCAGTACGAATGTGACGTCGCCGTTTCGTACTACGTGCGAGGCAGTAGCTCGCGAACCAGTCTCTAGTCCACGGTATGCCACACGCTCGAAGCCCATGCGTGCAACGTAAAAGGCTGCAGCCTGCTTGGCGTTACCGACATACCAGTGGACATGGTGGTAGCCACGGTATGAAGAGATGTCTGAGGTAGTGGCGTTATCCGGACGGGGTGATGCGGGTGGAGAGATAGCAGCGGGCGCCATGATGAAATATGATGTGAACCTCGAAAGTTCCAACAACAGTTGTTCAAAAGCAAAGTCAACCTTTATCAACAAACAGTCGAGTCGTTTTAGATGCTCGAATTCTTGCTTGTAGTGCAAAAGTAGCGCAGTGATGAGGATTCCGGTTGAGACATGCAACGCAGTGCGATCTTTATCATTTCCCACTACCGCGCAGAGTCCACTTCCCTTCGCAAACCGAATACCGATTGCTTTTGCCAGTGAACTACCAAGTTCGTCTCAAACAGCGTCATCCAAGCGGTTATGCCGAGCGCACGTGAAGCGGCCGCCAGAAGCAATGTTAGTTTGTCCGGCGGTGTCCGCCAATGAACGCCCGCTGGTATCCGACGGATTGTTAAAACACCGGCATGATTGTAGGTAGACGATGCCAAAAAAGAACTCCATCGCGTACTGAGGAGCCGGTACACCGATTTTTTTTTCTTTTCCGTTTTTGACCATGGGCAAATCGCATAGTTCAGCTTTGGGATAGGACGTGGGAGTGATAGAGTTTGGTGATGTGTGGTGGTGCAGCGGCGTTTTGCCGCCAAAAGCCGCGTTGAGGCGTTAAGCCGAGTAACCATCAGAGCAGCATCTGCACGTCGATATGTCAAAGTAATACACTGATTATAGAGCTGATCATCTGACGACTAGACAAATATCGCATTACCAACCTCTAAGTAAGACGCCTGACATACCATCATCAACCCACAGTCAACACACGATGGCCGCCAACATGCCAAATACCAGCCTATCGGCTAATGACGCACGCATTCTCAACGCACTATTCGACCCAGAGACCCTACCTTCATCAGTAGCAAAGTCAAGAGACAACGCATCAATCGACAAATCACTACCTCCAGATCCCAGGATATCAGCCCCTGAACTTTCAGACCTCGAGAAGCGGCAAAACGACATCATCCGCAATGTGTCCAGCAACTCGGACAAGACAACAATAGACGACGCAATCACGCAGCTAAACACGACACTAGCACTTTGGCCAAACTATGCAAGCGCCCACGTCAACCGTGCCATGCTACGGCGAATGCGTATGGAAGCGTCATTAACAGAGGGCCAAACCATTTTCTCCGCACCAACACACGATATCGAGGATTTATTCTACGATCTCTCACGTGCAATTCACCTCTCCTTACCCGCCTCGTCGCCTGCCGACCCAGTATCTGAGTACGCAGCCCGCATACTGCGCACAGCGTACTCGCACCGCGCGTACCTGTACCTCAAGGCTGTCGAGGCGGAGACGCTGCTTAACGGCCTGAGCAAAAGTGAGCTGGAAGAGCTGGCTAGCAAGGACTTTGCGCAAGCGGCGCGGTATGGAGATGAAGTTGCGCGCGAGATGAGCGTGAGGACGAATCCGTATGCGAAGATGTGCGGAGCGATTGTTCGGAATGCATTGCAAGAGGAGATGAAGAGCGAAGCGTAGTCGAAATCAATAATTCATGCTTGTAGTAATAGTGTTGCTGACGAACATGGTCAGTAGTATCCCGCATCAACAACTTTTTGATACCAAATGTAAGATTTTTGTAACCACCCACTTCTCACACCATCACCATCATCGCCTCCTGTCAACAACAGCAGCATTATAACTCTATATCCTCAGGCGACACCACCCAAGAAGAACTCTATCATTCTATCCGCCCCGCCCCCTTCTGCGTCACAAACCTGCGACACTTGCACAGCCCCATTCTTCCTCCCGTTTCAGCCCTTTCGCTCTTCCCACCACCAACGCCTTTGGTACACCTTTCCCCTTTCGAAACTCCATCACACACCCCCGATTTTTTCTTTCAACGCGCTCCACCCCGCCCAGCAAGACTCGCCAAGTGATTCCCCCTTCCCCCCCCACTCCGGGCAACAGAAGCCAAGCCAAGCGACACGCTCGGCATACCTCGAACCTGCGACATCTTGTCCCAGCCAAGCTAGCCCCAGATGCCTCCCGCAAAGCCTCTCTCTACCACTCTGCTGTCTGCTAGCAGTCCGCGAGCCCGCTTTTTGGGCTCCGGACATGCCGCTATCCGGTCGCAACGGCGTATCGGCATTTGCAATCCACCATTTTCCCTCCCTCGTCGTTGCTTGTATCGTGTTATGGCATTGCCAATCCTTGACGGGTGGTGGGCTTCCACCGCCCTATTGCGGAGCATGACGTGTCCGGGTGTGCCCTTTTCCCTTTCTGTTTTGCCCTTGGTGTATTGGCACGAAGAAATGGATGGTGTGTTGGGGATGTGGGAGGATATGTATAAAGGAGGCGTGCCCGACCTCAGTTTTTGAAGCACATTCATTCTTTTCATATACTATGAGTAGCGCCCGTCTTTGTTTTTCTGGTCAAACGGCGAAGCTCTGGTGGATTGCCCTGCTTGCTAAGGAACCTCTGTCTCGCTACCTTTCTTGTCCTTCTTTCTTTCTTTGTCGACGAGGCGGACCGCTGGCTCGTTAACTTCTTATTGTCTCTTTTTTTTCTTTCAAGGCGAACCTCTGGTTCGTTGCTTTTCCCGAGACCTGTTGCTTTTCGTTCTAGGCCGAACGACGTAGATTTTTGGTAACATCTGTTTTCGAGCATTCACCGAGTGCTCGTTGCACTCACCTTCTTTTCTTGTCGCCCAATGGGCATAAAAGGTAATTCCGGCACTATGTAGCGAGACACTAGCTGTCTCCAGCGTCTTGGCACACGTATTGTAAGATTGATGAGTATGTAATTTCTTGTATCTTCTATACTATATCAGAGGTCAAGTACATGGATGGATGGATCGACATAAAACAAGGAAACAAGGAATCAAAGCATAGTAATAGTGGGCAACGGATTAAGATGACATTATGCACTAGGAACATTTGACCACGTAAAGAACGAATGGCTGCCCAAATTTTATAAGATTTTAGATTCAGTTCGATGGTTCTGCGCCGTTTCGTGTGTCAAGAATACCTCTCCATACTCGTACAATAATCATGAGAAAAAGACGCCATTAGCACCCACCTTCAATGGCGCTAATGGCATCTCTTGGATAGAGAACACAAAGGAAATGTAAAAAAGAGCTCTCCAGTATCAGAGTATACTGAGGCTACATGTATGCTGGTTCAGTTTCCAGCAGCTTGGCAGCAGTTGAAGTCTCTAGTGGCGAATGAAGCGTAACAATTCATGCTACTTTCGTCACAGGATGTGCGACTATTGCCGTAGCGTTGGAAACGCCCATGTCTCAAGCGAATTTATGCAAACGCTCCGACAATAGACATGCCAGCTGCTCCCATGAGAACGTAGATGAAAGCTGTTGTCTTGGTCTTTCCAGTCATGGTATGGGATGCCTCCTCGGACAAGAAATCCTCTGCCAACAGATCGACAAGCGCAGCGTAGATAAGAAGACCCGAGGAGATGGCATTGAAGACACCCACAATGATGAGTCCAAAGGCCGAGTTGGGGTCATAGGATCCTCGGGTGAGGAGACCAATAGCCTGGCCAATGGGGGCGGTAGTACCAAAAGCAACAACGAGTGCCCATGGCTTCCAGCTGTTCTTGGGGTAGGGGACATCGGCGATACGCGTTCCAAGACCGAGACCCTCGAACATTTGGTGGAAAACAATGGCGATGAGCAGGATGATGAAACCCTCGGCAGTGATGGAGATGGTCATGCCGACGAAGACGGAGTGGAAAAGAATACCACCCTCAATAAGCGTAATTTGCATGGACTGCTTCTTGAGGACCATTGGGTCAACAGCTTGCTCGACGTCGTCGTCAAAGTACGAGTTGGTCTGTTGTGCTTGGGCTGCTTGTTGTTGCTGGTAGTTGGGCATGGCGGGCATGGCACGGTTGATGGTCGCGAGCATCTCGTCGCGCTGGCGCACGTATTGCTCGTAGAAGACGATGAACCACGGTGGCATCTCAGACTTGGCATCAAGCTCGTCACTGCCATTCTTGGGGAATGGGAAGCTGTCGACTGGGTAGGTGTTTTCCTCGGCCCATCCACGCTTCTCGTTTTGCTGGGCCATGGTCCTCTGGGAATCGTAGCTCTCGACGCGGCGAATGGGGTTGTTGAAGTTGGCCTGGACTCCGGCGGCAGCGCCATGTCCTGCGTTGAAAGCCTCGCCCGTTGCGCCACCGTGGCTGTGACCACCTGTCTTCTCGTGCAGCCACATCTCAACGACAAAGAGAACAAAGAGCGAACCCATCATGATTACACCTGGCAGGGCAGGGTAGTCGTCGGTGAAAAGATCGGGCAAGCATGGGTCATTGAGCGATGCAAAGGCAGTAGGCAAAAGCTAAGCAGTGTTAGTCAGGTTGACTAAACTTTCTTTGTGAGTGACATGTACTGACATGAACGAAAGCAGTTGCAATCAAAACACCAGTACCAAAGTGCTTGCAGAAGAAGAAGATTGGAGGAGGAATCTTCATCCACTTGATCTTCTTGGCCACGACTGGGAAGCCGGCACCAAAGATGGAAGCAAAGAAGACAATGACTGACTAAGTGTTAGACGGGAGTTTGGATGACGCAATTCTGCCACTTACAAACTGCAGCCACGTGCAGGGGAAAGTCGTAGACAGCAGCATCGGCCTCGCTGCCGCACTGGGGCTTTTCGTCGGCCATGGTAATGATTACGAAGGGGATAAAAATGTAGCACAAGAAATGAGTGCGGTAATTCCGGACTTGCCAGCAGTCTCGTCGCCGGCGACGATGGACGAAGAGAAGGTGAGAAGTGAAAAAAAAAGAGGAGGAAAGAAAGGAATCCGACACACACTCTTTCAAAGAGTAAACTAAAGCCAAAAGCCAACGAACTGAAGTTGAAGGTATGGAACTTAAAAGCTCGGCATGGCAGACTATGTATTGCTTTAAACCTGGCATAGCATGAGAGACACTAACCGCATCACGTTGATCACAACGGTCCTAGAACGAATAGGGTTGCCCAAGGCGGTGGAACCTCGACACATTGGCCTGTGCCTCAGATGCCGCTTGAGTGACGGGTGCTACGCGCAGAGGACGGAGGTCCAGACGGTGCCAGGAGCGACCAGCATTGCGCCGACTAAACACAAGCAATTGGACAAGGCCGCAAGGCTGTAATCGGACTGGTGGTTCGCCGAGCCCAAGAAGCTCATGGAGACATCTGTCATGCTATTGGGGACTTGGCAAGGTCCGGGCGATCTTGGAGGGGTGGAGGTGTGATGCGGCTCAAGTCTCGTTTCCACCGAGTGGGACAAGCGGCGACGTGTGGAGGTGCAAAGCATTCAGGGTGAGGCTTGGATGGGATTTTCTGGAGCAGTTGGGGTTCGAAGAGGCTCGATGCTGAAATTAGCAGGCCAATGAGACGTTTTGGGACAGCATTTACGCGTATAGCCAAGCACGGGTGGATTTAGTACCGTTCGGGCACTCGCTTGGCAATGTCGTGACTTTGCAGTTTTGAAACCTGGGGAGAAGTAGACAAGAACAGTGGAGGTTGGAAGTGGTCCCTTTGTGGAACTTGGTGTAGCCGGTGGGATCCTTCCGTGACGATCGCTGCTTTGCACTAAGCCACTTTCGGCTCTTGAGACACGTTTGGCCGTTGGAGGGGAAGATTTAGCCGCGACTTTGTAACTTCAGCCATCCCAGCCAAGACGAGATGAATGTCCACACTGTGAGCTTGTCCCCGCAGTGAGCTCCATCAAAAGTCCACTTCTTTCGAAGCGATCGATGCGGGGGAATAAGAGGGGGTTTTTTCTTTCTCCTTAACCTAAAGACCACCAAGCCTTGCTTGGGTTCTCGGCAATTCACCTCCTCCCTCCCTCCCCCAGACCGCCTGACCATGATCCGGTGAGAGGGGCCCTGTAGACTCAACAACAATGTCTATACAATCCTTCTCTATACCTTCCATGCTTGTAGGGTGCCAAGTGTAATGGAGTATCAAGATTAGGCCAAGCCCATGGATACTTGCCCAAAGTGGTATTATAGCTGACCTAAGGCGTGCTAGTAAGCGTTGTGAATGCTTAGCGGGTTTCAGGCTCCGCGTCCACATGCTCACACGTGCGCCTCCAACCTGCACCTTCGCACAATCTTGCACCCTCCAAACAATCCGGCCATGTCATAATGACTCCAGACTGGGTGCAAAAAAATTTAGACGGAGGCGAGCGGGAGGAACGCCGCTGGTGGCGTTTATCGTCATGTTTATTACAGAGCCTGCTTGCCCGGTTCTGAGGCGTACATACCTTTTTCGTAGCCCATTCACGCAATACATCCTGGCGATCGCTCATACACTCACGTACGCGTCCCTCAGACCAGATTTCCGGAAAACATGTCTCCTGAGTCCCATAGTATGTATCAGCCGTCTGGAGTAGCGCTTCTGTGTCTGATAGTCCCAGCTTCACCTGACCGCCCATCCCCGGGCCAAGGTCCCGAGCAAACAAACGTTCCAGCCAATGCTGGTCAAGTCTTGTCTGCAGACCAACCGGCTGTCGCCCAGCCTAGGACAGATGCCATCGAAGAGCTGTCGTCTAGAGACAGTGTCTCTTCCAACGATGCCAAACACACTGCCGCCGTCACTGTCAACAGCGACCCGCTTGATCTGGGTAGACATCGCCGAGAAGATGTGACACAGAAGCAGATGAAGGCGGAACATCCGTTGGCTAAGCCCAGGCACATGAAGAAGTTTTATACGCGCCAAAACGCCCTCATTGACCAGTTTCTCCAAAGCGGTGACGAAGAGCGCTTGGCTGCTCTCGACCAGCTCGAAAATGGCCCCAAGGTGCGGTTCGCCGTAAACGCCTCCTTCGTAGTCAACTTTTGTCTATTCGTTATCCAGCTCTATGCGGCCATTTCCACAGGCTCGCTTTCGCTGTTCGCAACTGCAGCAGACGCCTTCATGGACCTGGTATCTTCAGTTGTCATGCTCATCACATCCCGTATGGCAGCAAGGCCTAGTGTGTACAAGTATCCTGTTGGACGGACGCGCATTGAAACAATTGGAATTATCATGTTTTGTTGTTTGATGACGACTGTGGCCATCCAGTTGATTGTAAGTATCTCCCAATGCCAAGATCAAGCAATTGCTGACAGTCGACAAGATCGAATCCGGCAGAGCTCTGGGTGGTGGTGAAACCGACTCGGAGGAGCTTCACATCATTCCTATTGCCTTTGTTGCTACTGCTATTTTCTGCAAAGGCTCCCTCTGCATCTACTGTTTCATCTATCGTCGCTACCCTGCCGTCCATGTCTTTTTTATCGACCACCGTAACGACATCGTCGTCAACGCCTTTGGTCTCGCCATGTCCATTGTCGGTAGCCGCGTCGTCTGGTATGTCGACCCTATCGGTGCCATCCTTATCGGTCTCTTGATCCTCTTCTCGTGGGCCGCAAACGCTTTCGACCACGTCTGGCTGCTTGTCGGAAAGTCGGCCCCCAAGGATTTTATCAGCAAGCTCATCTACCTTGTCGTCACGCACGATACGCGCATCCAAAAGGTCGACACCTGCCGTGCGTACCACGCTGGACAAAAGTACTATGTGGAAGTCGACATTGTCATGAGCGAGGACCTGCCCCTCAAAATCACGCACGACGTCTCTCAGACCCTGCAGCGAAAGCTTGAAGGTAAGCCGTTGCAATCACGTGCCCGCGTTGAAACGATTACTAACTTTCCAAACAGGTCTTGCAGACGTCGAGCGCGCCTACGTCCACGTCGATTACGAGAGCGAGCACGATATTTTCGAGGAGCACAAACCCCTTTACGAAGTCACCCAGTCACGCACTATCAAAGAGCGCGTAAAAGCCATGCGCTTCCTCTTCAAGAAACAGGACAAAGACGCCTGAAAGGCGCAATCACATAATCTAATGTCTTGTTCCATGGCCTAACCATATTTTGTACATTGTAGTGCTGTTGCACTAGACAACCAAGGCCATGTCTTTTCATTTTGTCATATTTATACCCAGCTTTCAGCAGCTAAGAGAAATATATAGCTGCGATTTTGTTATAGTTAGATAGAAACCCTTTGGGTCATTTCTTCCCACGTTGTCACATGAGGGAGGCTACAAATGCATTCTGAGCCACGCCTATTGGTTCTGGTTTTCCGGCAGATATCCTTATCTTGCGTTGAGCTACCCTCTATTTGTCTGCTTTGATATTGTATTTTATCGCACACTGCCGATATGGCAAGGGGTTGTGGCGCACAACAAGGCTGAGCATAGCCACGCGCCTAGTCCTATTGCATGCATGCATTTAGCCAAACCCATGTCTGCTCCGCCAGAATCGTTCAGCTGCAGCCAGCTCTTTAGGTCATTTACTTGGCTGTCCACTGTGCGTTGTTCGCAGTGCATATCCATCATGCAGGCTGTGCCACACAGGCAGAAGCTGCTGCAGCAGTGCAGCTGAAGCCAACTGACCGTCAGGCTACCCCGCAGCCTTCCTCTCGCAATCGTAAAACAAGCACAGAACGACCAAATTATTCTCAATTTTTCTTTCAACCTCCTAGCTTACGGTGTTGATTTCACGATTTTAAACATACCATGGGAAAGCGAGACCGTATACGCGGATGGCTAGTACCAGTCGCTACCAGAAGCCGTCCAGCCTCACCCGGCTCGACACCTTCACCTGCACAACCAATATCACCTCTTCCTCCATCTTCTCCCGCTCCGAGTTCAATCGCGCCCACTCTAGTCACACCAGAGCCAGTGAAGCCGCGAAATCAAGCGCTTAAGAAGGCGGTTGAGCGGCAACTGCAAAATATCCCTGAGGCTGGGCGTGTAGCATTCGAGAAAGAGATCAAGGCACTTGATGAAAGATCTCTACTATTCAAAGTACAGGCGTACGATGAGGAGCACAAGAATGAGTCTTCCTTCAGGCCTCACGCCGAGCGCTTAACCAAAGGTCTTGACCTGATCAGCAGGCTTATGAGGGGCGTCGCTATAGGCATCCAGGCCGACCCTGCCATATCCTCCCCTGTGGTTGGTGTACTCCAGGTGATTATTGATATTGGCTTGGAATTCTCAAAGTTCTTCACCAGATTGACTGATATGATCTGCGAGTTTGAAGATTATCTCGGGCCACTGTCTGAACATTCTCAGGCAGCTGACATTGAGCTTATAGAGAGTGCAGTTGTCAGTGTGTATACAAACATGCTCGATTTTGGTTGGAAAGCGCGATCTGTTTTCGTTGATTCAAATGGAAAACGAAGGAGGTTCACCTCGTTTAGGGCATTCAAACGACAGCATTGGGACACGTTTGAGACCGAATTCATGTCTATGAAACAGCAGATGCAACACCACCTTCATGTTCTTCAGCATACTGTACAGGCAACACACTTCAATCATGCCCGGATTACCGCAAAAAGTAGGTCTGGCCCCTGTCTGTTGCTAGTGACAGGTTCTAAAAACCCATCGTTTTAGGGACGGAAAGAACGGCATTTCTATCATGGGTCTCAGACGTCGACTTTGAAGAGGTGCATCAGAGTACCTATGCTAAAAAGCAAAGAGGGACAGGCGACTGGCTGACACGAGAGCCCCGGTTTCAAGAATGGATGCAAAGCTCGCATTCATCTCTATTGTGGTGCAATGGAAAGCGTGAGTGGGAGTGTATCCTTTACTAATCAGAATGTACTGATCCTCTACAGCTGGTATCGGAAAGTCTGTGCTCAGGTAAGTTCGCAACCCCACCATCAAATGCTGGTTCTTTTGCTGATTGAACGCATAGTTCTCATGTCTTAGAACACATCACAGCTGAAGCTGGGTTGCGAGAAAAAACTGCCATTTGCTTCGCCTACTACAATTACCGTGATACACGATTGGCAAACATTACCACGATCATAGCCATACTGATCAAGCAACTCTGTCAAGGCATGCAAGATATACCAGACAATCTTCTCGAAATCATGCGCAACGCTCGCTCTCCGTCTCTGCTAGGTTCAAAACAATATTTCTTCTCCCTCACGGAGAACTTTTCAGAAGTCTTCGTCGTTTTCGATGCTCTCGATGAGTGTCCAGAAGAGAGACGGGAGGATATTCTCGGCTTCATCACCGAGGTGGTAACTATGCCGGCTCCGCATTGTATAAAGGTATTTGCCACGAGTCGGAGGGAGATGGACATCACAGAGGCCTTTGTGAAAAAAGATGTCCCAACCATTCAAATCTCAGCTGGCAATGTTTCGGCCGACATTGAGACGTTTGCCCGCAGTAGAGTCGAAGAACTTCGATCTGGGCAACATGGAAAGACCCTATACATTGATAGCGATGATTTCACAGAAGAAATTATCAGGACACTCGCTCAGAAGGCCGAAGGAATGTGAGTTTTTGTTAAGCAGCCAGACCAAAGGCTGCTGTAGGCTAAATGTATAACAGGTTTCTTTGGGTCAACCTTCAACTGGAAAATCTCTGTCAAGCTAGCAAGGCTCGAAACGACGAGGTGGTGAAGGAAGCACTGAACACATTGCCCTGGAACTTGCCAGACACCTATATTCGAATTCTGGAACGGATTGAAACTCAAGCTCCATACATGAGAGATCTGGCAATCAGAAGTCTGTCCTGGGTACTATATGCTGAGAGGTCTCTCAGCACCAAAGAACTACAAACCGTTGTTGCAATCAATTCGAAATGTAAAACTCAAGAAGATCTACGACCCATCTCGATAGAAGTCATTCTTGAAGCTTGCGGCAATCTACTAGAAGAAGCTAACAGAGTGATCCGACCTATCCACTACACAGTGCAGGAGTTCCTGACGACTGCTGCTCACGGGAAACCACAACATGCGATACGAAGACAGCTTCTAGACTCGAAATCTGTGCACAAAATTTTGAGTCTAGATTGTCTTATGTACATTGGCCTAATGTCGTTTAGCGGGCCAGCTTATGACGAATGGGAACTTTCCCAACGAGTGGATGAACATGATCTCGCTATATATGCATATACGAGCTTCGACTACCATATCTTGAATTGTGGTGAGCCTTCTCCTGATGCTATGAATAAACTGGAGAGACTTTTCCAGCGGGACAGTGCATATCTTGCAATGTTATTACAGATGACACTCCTATCGAATGACAATATTTACGGGATCTCTATGGCGAGATTTAACAGTATAGATTCTCTGGTAACCCCTGCCACAATCATACATAGCACCAGGCTCTACAACGTTCCCACAATCAGACAACGATGGGTGGGTCAAACACCACCCATATATGCTTTGCACCTTGCGGCCTCTGCAGGACTAGTCGATGCAATCTGGCAGCTTCTAGGAGATGGAGTTGATATTAACGAGAAAGACGGGGCTGAGTGTGCCTCAATGTATTACGCATGCCAATATGGCCATCTGGATGTTGCTCAGATACTCATCAGAGAAGGCGCAGATATCGATGCACGAGGCGGTGAA